CAAACAATCTTGTCACGTTCTCCCTACTAGTTTCAAATCCACCTCTAGTGAGCATCTCAATGATTCCTCAAAGGAACCAGAAAAGAAAAGATTTTAGAGGTACCCGACATCTTGACTATGCAAACCTGCTCCAAAAACTTGACTCCTATCTGTTCGGTTTCGTAGTGACCCGACACTACGTGGAAGGAAACCTACCAAGACCCGCCCCTTAATTAAAACAATTAACAAGCATATTAAACTTAATCAAACAAGATTAAAAACAAGAATTATACCTTTGTCGCGTGCTTCGCTCCCAAAGAGCTCTTACTTCAAAATCCCGAAAACACGAGATCTCCGACGGATCGTACCCTCGACCCGACCCGAGCGTCCTAAGTCTTGAAGGTTAGTCAAGACCCGGATAAAATAACTATGAGTTTTACGAATCAAAGGTTTACTCTTAATTAGAGTTGCCTTTTTAATTCCACTCAAGGTTGTTCATTTCCCAATACCCAAGCTTGGTATTTATAGGGAAATGATCCCTTGATTTTTCAACCTCCACCAATGTGGGAGTGTTGAAATACAATGATTTATTTAATTTCCAAATGAAATAAATAATCAAGTTAATCACATTTCGACAAGTGGCATGATCATATGCAAAAGAGTGGTGGACAAGGTTAGGTGGGGGACCATATGCCTTGCTCCCCAAGGCCTTGATTTGGTCCCCACATCCTTGCACAAAACCGGGTCAAGGAAGGCTAGCTGGTTGCTAGCTAGGGCTGCCAGCTAGCACTGCCTTGCTGCCCAGCACCCCAGCCAGCCAGCCAGCTAGTGCGTGCTGGTGCTGGGCTGGTGCTATGTGCTGGCGCTGGTGCGTGCTAGTGCCATGCGCTGGTGCGTGCTGGTGCTAGCCCTAGCACTTCCACGCACTGCCTCGCACACTCCTCATGCTACACGTACCCAGCCCCATGCCTAGCATGCGTGCTGCTAGCGAGCCACGCATGCTGGGCTAGACGCTGCTTGCCAGCTCTCCCTCGCATCATGCTACGCACCACGCACCACGCAGCACTCGCACACGCATCAGCCAGTGCCTAGCACTGCTATGCTTGGTGCGAGGCACGCACACACGCACATGCACATGCGCCAGTGCCTAGCACTGCGATGGCTGTGCTTGGTGCGTGTGTGGCCTTACCATACGCACCCAGGCACCCAGACTAGCACGCTGCTAGCTGCGATGGGCTGCCTGGTGCTTGTGGTGCTTGCGATAGGCTGCCATGCGCACCCAGGCACCCAGGCTAGCACGCTGCTAGCTGCGATGAGCTGCCTGGTGCTTGTGGTGCTTGCGATAGGCTGCCATGGCGCCTAGGCATCATGCTAGGGCTGCGATAGCGCCTAGGCAGAATGCTAGGGCTGCGATAGCGCCTAGGCAGAATGCTAGGGCTGCGATGGTGCGCCTAGCACACCTAGTGTGCTTAGGCTTGCGCCATGCATGCTAGCTCGAATTAGCCTAGCATTCACATGGTTAGACCATTGTGGTGCTACGGCTACACTCATACTTGTCGCTTTGTGATTTTGCGACGCTCGGTCTCGACACCTTAGGCTCGATATCCGACGTCTGTATTCGTAAAACTCTGTCTACTCATTAAATCCTTTCGGATTAATTCGTCGTCTCGGATCGGTGATTCGATTGGGTTCGACCCGAAGGGTTCAGTTAAGATTAAGCTGTAACATCAACTGTACATTGATATTACTGATCGGAAGCGACCTCCACCTAGGCATTCCGATCACTTGACCTTACTGAAGAATTAGCTCCGTAATAATTCTGAACCCTCTATCGGAAGAATACACTTGTTGGAAGGACACCATTCCTTTCACTATCTCCCTCCACCGACTTGTGACTCAACCATAAAGGTCAAAAGGTCTTTGAAGGGTTGTAACGTATGGGCAAAGAGGTTAAAGGTAGGCTAAAATTTGAAAATTTGGTGGTATTCCTAATTTGTGAAGCAAAGGGTGATCAATCCTCAACACCATAATCAAGTTTTCACCAAACTCAAACACAAATACCAACACCCCCAAGCTTATTCAAAGTAACACTACAAACATATATACAAAAAGCGTATACACCCTTCCCCCATGCTTAAATGGAGCATTGTCCTCAATGCTCTAAACTAGGAAGATAATGACCACATCAAAATATTTTTGTGCTTTTCATTATTTTCTTCTTCTTTTTTTTTTTTTTACCTTTTTTACATTTTTCAAAGCATTTGCTTTTGCCCTTTTTTTTTAACTTTATTGCTTTGTCCTCACCTCTTTTAACTATGGATGGATTTTTTAACTTGCATTTGCCTTTATTCACACACTATATACAACACATGCTTACTTAGCAAAAGAACAAAAAACCACACTTATACTCCCATAAGCTCCAACAAACAATGGACCAATTACTTCACAAAAACGAAGAATGGAAACAAAAACAAAACAAATGGCTAATGAGCTAGAGATATGGCTAGAAAAGAAGGTATAAGGCTCAAACGGTTAGCAAGAAGGCAAGTGTAAACCCAAAAACCAAAACTATAAGAACGAAACCTAGAAAAAGAAGAATAACTATCCCAAAAATGCCTTTGTCCTTCCCAAATGGTTCGGTCGCGATCTCGAGAGATAAAAGTCGAGTTCTAGATAAAGTAAGCGATAGTCAAGGATCCATGTGCCGCTCATGCAATATCGGTTGAAGGCTAGAAAAATGAAACCTCACATTGTTGTAGCAATAACTCACTATTAGCTTCAAATCAACTATAGGAAGCTATACCTTCTTACCATAAGAAAGTAGACTAGGGATTCAAGGTCCCAAAAGTACTTAACCAACTACCTTAGCATATCATATCCTAGAGTCATCCCCAGATATCTCAAAGCGTGCAAACCACTACCATTTAGGAAGAAAAGCATTCAAGAACACAAGTCTAAAAGTATTACGTCCGAAGCAAGAACAAAACAAAAACACATTGCAAATTTGCCTTGAAAGAAACAAAAATCTTTTTGGAATTTTTCAAAATAAAGAACATGGAAATGCATATACAATTGTGCATGGCATATAAGAATCAACATCCCACCAAACATGAAAGAATACCCTCCCCCGAGCTTGAATAAGACAACAAGCTCAAACATAAACCAAAGAATCCATGGGAGGAGAAAAGAAAGAAATCAATCCAACAAACCAACATATGTCCAACAAGTCACCAACCATTAGAGAAAGGGAAAGGAAAGATATTACCGGATATAAGGTGGGTGTAAATACCTGCAAATGACCTAATTCAACCTTTCAAAGCCAATTTCCTCCAAAGCCATGCCTCATATGCCATATGCTAGGAAAGAGGAGTCAAAGTTCCTTGACTCTTGATTAAAACCAATGCATAAGAGTATATTAAGTCATGTACCTACCAAAGAGCATACAAAAATTTCCATAAGAGAAAATCTATACTAAAAAGAAAAGAAAATGAAAGCAATAAAGCACGGGTTACTTCCCGAGAAAGGCTTGCTTAAGGTCTAAGCTTGATCGCTACAGTAAATAATATTGCAACGAACGCAAGAGCTTGTCAAATGCACTACTACACATTTCGTAAGATAGAAGGTAGGCAAATGACGAGAAGAGGACGTGCAACATGGATAGTGCACGCAAATGAGGAGAGAGATGCCAAGAAAAAGAAGAAGAATCAAAAGCAAATTCAACAAAATAAGAAGAAGAGGAAGAAGAAAAAGAAAAGGAAAAATAAGGCAAACTCTCCTCAAAATGTTTTTGGGTGGAAAAATCACCCTTTTCCTCAATAATCGATGAGTGGGGAGCTTGAATATCACAAATAGAAGGAGGCTCCCCAAAAGGCTCTTTGACAAAAGAAGGGAGGGATATAGGATAGTAGGGGATGTGGTTAAATTTCCTTGAAAAAAGGACATGACGAGGGGGGATAAGAGCAATGGTCTCACTAATGATCTCTTCCTCTCCACCATTGCTCACATCACTAATAAGAGCATAGAAGTCAATCATTGAATCTTCAAAAGAAGGACACTCGTGATCTCCATCTCCCTCAAACAACCAACTTCCAAGAGAAACTACATCATTCTCTCCAACACAACAATGAAAAACAACTCCCTCAATATCCTCAAACCCAAAGTCTCAAAACCATGCATGAATGGATGTAAATTCATTTCAAGCTCATCTCACTTTCATGAAGCATTCTCAATGAACTCACTCAAAATGCTATGATTTTTCATTTGAACCTCTAAGAACATTTTGGACATAACCTCAAACGAGATTAAATACTCATGGAAAGAAGAATCACGTTCATGCACTTGACACTCATCACAATCAACATAGGAAAGGGAGTTTAGATTCACAAAATCATCATCATCATCACTCTCAACTCCCTTTCCTTCACTCCTATGCTCACTAATAAGATCCTCACAAACTCTTGGTTGCTCAAAAACATCATCATCATCCTTAACACACACATTGGATTTGGAATTTCACAAACAAACATCAAAGATGACAATTTACTTTCTACCTCTCCATATCTCCTTCTTCCCTCCTCAATATGCTCCTCACTCTATTTCATCATCTCTAATTAACTTCTCATAGAATTAAGAATCAACTCCTTAATAGGCCCAAGATCATTACCAAGCTCAATGTGCCTAATTTGAGATTCAAAAATAACAATAAGAGATTCAAATGGTGTAGAAGCACTAGTAGAAAAAATGAATTACGCAGCACATTTTTCGCACCGATTCTTGAAAATCGGTGGGAAAAGAAATAGGCAGGATTGGGGAAAATACTTTTCCCACCGGTTCCTAATAAACCGGTGTGAAATCATATTTTTTGCACCGGTTCAAACCGGTGCGAATTACGAAATATAAAAAAAAAACCGGGCTGCTTTTCTTCTTCTTTCTTTCCATGTTCTGTACTTTTAATTTCCCTCTCGTTTTTCCTTCGTTCTCTATCCAGAATCCCGAATTGCCCTAGCTTTCTCACTCCATTGAAGCAGCACCTCCGCCTTCTCACTCCATTGAAGCATCACCTCCGCCTCCATTGAATCGTGCTCTATATTCTCCATTGAAGCCGAATCTGAGCTTTCTCACCTCCATTGAAGCTGCTCCTGGTTTGCTTCGATTTCGCTTCCTTTTGGTTTTGATTTTGTTTTTTTTTTGCTGTTCTTGATTTTAATCTTCTTTGCGATTGATGAATTGTTGGTTGATTTTGTTGTTGTTGTTTTAGGGTTGTCGAATCTGGTTGTGTTATTGGATTGATTTTTAATGGATTTGCTCGTGAATTTGTTCTATGTTTGAGTGATTTTTTCCAATTGAGGTTAATTGGAAGAAATTAAGGGTTTTCTAATTTCTCAAGGCTGTTAATTGGAAGAAATTAAGGGTTTCCAATTAAGGGTTAATTGGAAGAATGTCATGCAATTCAATTTCGTCAGGTCTCTTTTAATTTATGTACATACATTATTGTTGTTAATATATAATTCGTGAACTCTTGTTATTGTATATGTTGAAAATTTTGAAATTTATTTTATTCCATTAAGTTAATTTTATCTGTATTAAGTAGAATATGATGGCATTGAGTTAGATTTAAAATTTATTTTGCGGAACTAAGTTAAATTCTTGCTAAAGTGAATAGAATATTGGTGTTTTTAGTATTGGTTGATTTTTTTTTCTAGGTCAATTTGATTCTTTAGAAGTGGGAAATTGGTGTACAACTTATGGTATAAAAACGCAAAAAGATTGATTACTAATAGTCATTTCAACTGAAGATACTTATTATAGTATAAGACTGTCAATTCTAGTTCCATGAACAAATATCGCCACACCAAAATCAATTAGGGAAATATTGGCAAAGCGTGTCCCAATCACAAAGACCACTATTGCGGGAATAAATGACATAGGAAGGTTGTGTGTTGGTCAGGGAGTCTAAATCATACAGTCATTTTTATGTTTTCTATTTGTATAAAACTGAGTGTAATTCTTTTGTTTCATCACACCAGCAGGAACTCTAAGGGTCTTATTGTTCTAATGAAGACTACTAATAAAGGTAAGTCTGATCAATTTATCACTATTTTTTTTTTTTGCCTGGTATCTTTACTAGTTTAGATTCTTCGAATTAAGCTAAGTAGTACTCTGTATTATTGTATTACTCATATTTATAAAAGGGCTACATTTAGTGTTAGTTGGATGCTAAGTTAGTGGGATGCTTCTCATTGGTTTGTTTTCCCTTTATGGCGGTCTTGTTACTAATTGAGCTTTTGACAATCTAAATGTTGGCTATAATGGTTGATGCTAAAGAAAACTTTAGCTGGGTTGGTAAATCTTGTTCCTTGAAAAGCATCCAGTGTCAAACATATATACGAAGTTGAATGTTGCTTGTTGAGCTCTTGGGAGCACTAATTGTCTAGGAGTGTTTATTTGTGTGCATTTACAATTTCGTTTCTATAACTCGCTTTGACAGGTAAAACAGCAGCAACAGCCAGCACCAGGCAGGCACAGCACCAGCAGACAACAGCTAATAGCCAACAGATAGCCAACAGGAGTGGTTACTGCAGATGCAGATGGTACTGCTGCCACAACTTCAGACCTGGGACTCGATAATACAGCAGCAGAGTCTGTTAGAGAAATGGCACATGATGAATATCCTGAGTGGTTCCTCATTGAGATGGGAACTGTTGCAATCGATGCTGCTCAATTGGCAAGCGAGCATCAATCAGCAAATAGGAGAGGTCAGAGGATGAATCTACGGAATTATGTTGAGTACATTTGATGATTCGGTTCCATGGAAAGTCGAAAAACCTTTAAACTGTTGCCATGCTTCGGTGATTGTAAGTTGTAATTGCTCTGTGTAAATGGATCATTTGGTGAAAAAAAAATAAATAAAAAAAAAAAAGTTGTTTGGATAAACTATTTTAATGTTAATTTGTTTTATGGAATGAGCATTTTACTGTCAAGAGCTTTTATTATTTTTATTTGAGTTACAAAGAAATGAAAGGAAATCATATTGTTTTCTGTAGAATATGTTCACTTCTGAAGTTGGGGTTGGGAATTTAGGAATGCATTTGATAATTTTGGCAGAAAGATATTGTCTTTGTAGCATGCAAACAGCAACAAACATATTGAGTAATTTGTTTCTCTCTTACTACCTGCAGCTCTATTCAAACACCCCTTCGGATTTTGATTTTAAGCTTGAAAGGTGTGTAGTTCTAACTTTTTATTTATTTATCATCTTTCATGAGAATTTAGCGGTGATTCCATAAAATGAATTGTTTGTTTTTACTGTTGTTCTCAGCCTTGCTCAAGGTTTTCGCTGCTTGTCAGATTTTGTGGAACACCTTGCTGCTTCAGTTGATATTGTGTTTCCTGTCATCCATGGTCCTTTTGGTGAAGATGGTACTCTTCAGGTATATAAAATCGATGCTTTTGTCTAGGAGGAGTTTTTCGCAGAAATCTCTCATGCAATTAGGCATCCAGGAGTTGTTGGAGCAAGCAAAGGTTCCTTTTGTTGGTACAAAATCAAATGAATCTTACAAGGCATTTGACAAGGTGAGTTTATTGCTCTGGCTGACCCTCTAATACTTTGAGGACTAGTTCATTGTAAGCATTTAATATTACCGATGATGTGCTATGAATCCATGACTAACTCATATAATAGTGCGCATTATGTCATATCATTCTATCATAGCACTGTTTGGTTTAGCTGGTTCATAGGGAGGCTTCTGTCAGGAGTTTCTTGCTTCTTTCATAAGTTGTCTATGCATGTCACATGCGCATTATGCCCTATAAAGATGGAACAAATTAATATTAAACTGGGAAAACAGCATCTCAGATTAGTTATATTTCGGATCTTCCCACTAGAGGGACGGCAATTGAGTCTACTAAGTCAGGTGAACTTCTAAGATTTAATCTGTCCTACATCTCAATTATTTTCCAAAAAAAAAAAAAAAAAGGCTTGACCAGCAATTATACAATTAAACCAGATTAGAGCATATCAATTTTTTTTATAAGATGTCAAAATGCCAAGAAGCTAGTTTCAATTGGAAAGACTCATGCTACTTATGAAGTATGCTTTAGAAAAGAGTAATTTGCTGATAGTTTGTATGCTTTACTTTCCTTGGTCTGATGTAGAAAAACCGAAAAGCTTTAAAGAATTACTAAATATTTATGCTTACCCACACTCACTTTTTACTCGCTCTTTCTTACTTGATCCTTGTTTCTCTAACAAATTCACCTTTTTCTAACACACCCCCACGTTTTTCTAACTTGCCTTAATAATGAACCTACAGGCAGTGGGTAGAACAAAAGGATAATAGCTGAGGGAGTATATAAATATATAAGCTTATCTATGAAAGGAGATTATATGCAGTTCTTCCTAACATAAACTCTATTATATTTTAACTAATAAGGAATGGGATCTATTATGTGCCTAGAAAGTGGGATTGGTTCTAATTTTCCCTGCTTATCACCAATCTGTTTCTATTCTTTCCTCTGTATTTAATGAACGACTAGCCTTTGTAGGACTTATCTCATCATATCACAAATTTACCTTTGTTGTTGGTTTAATTACTTGAGTAAGAACATCTGTTAACTCAGAGGTTTGAAGTCCCTCTGAGAAATGACCTCACAATGCAGACTTGTCCACCCCCCCCCCCCCCAAAAAAAAAAAAAAGGTTACCTATCTTTGGTGCTAACTGATGTGTTTCATATGATGTGTAGTATGAAGCCTCATTAGAGGCTAGCAGACAAGGATTCTTGACAGTTCCTAGTTTCTTGGTTCAGGTATTTGTATTGATATAAGTCATTTTTGTTGCTTCTGTTAGAATTGTTGCCAGTTGATTGTAGTGTTATTCTTTCAAGATTACTTTGTCAGTTTGAATTTATGATTGTTGGATGGTAATAAAAGTTGTATGACACCTATTTATGTCTGTCATAGGCAACTCTATTCCATTTAGATCAAGTTTCTAATGAAAGTGAGAAAAAATCTCTCAGCAGTTCTAGGGGTATGGCTGCAAGAAGCTAAGAGTCCTCTATTCTTACACTCATTATCCCCTTATATCCTGTTATAGTACATAGGTGGTAACTCTGTGAGAGAAATTGAGAAACAATGTTGTCAGATATGGCTCTTCCATATGATTTTCAAGACTATTTTAAACTCATAAATTCTCAGGGATCTTTTTTTATGCTTATGAAAGGTTGTATGTTTTGACTAAGGGGATATTGAAGAGATTCTGAAGCTGAAGCAGTTGCTTTTAAAGTTATAGAAAATCGTCAGCAACTGTGTACAAGGTCGTTAAAAAAAAAATCTTCAATTCAAGGAGAAAACTCTAAGTATTCACCAATAAGCTATACTAGTTATAAATTGGGCAAATTTTTGCTCAACTAATGAACTATACGAAATTGAATGAAAAATATCTATCCTTATAGGTCGTTTCTCCACTTTGTTGGGTCCTTATTAGTTATTATACTATAAACAAAATCAAATATTGTGTCTCAACTCTTGCTCGTTGCTCCCTTTTTTTAAAAAAAAAAAAATATTGTTTTAAAGAATGTAATATGCTACTGATAATTTTTTTTATTCATGCTATTAGGGAAACGAGTCAGATGAAACCGATCTACAAAAGTGGTTTGAAACAAATCAATTGGATGTCGGAACAGAAAAAGTTGTGGTAAATAAATTACACATTTGAAAACACTTTTCATGAAAGTTTGAGGTTATTCCATTCTTGTGATTATTTATTTGTTGTTTCAGGTAAAACCAGCAAGAGGAGGATCAAGCATTAGTGTTACTGTTGCATATGGAGTTGCTGATTCCTTTACAAAGGCTTGCCGAATAATAACAGATGTATGTATTGTACAATTGACATGTCACTAGACAATAGACATTAAACTGTGAAGGTAATCCCCCCTAAATAAAGGTTAAGGAAAGATAAAGGAGAGGAGGGAGAAAGAGGGGGTGGGGTGGTGTTAAATTCTTAGTGATGTGTGTCATTATTGAATGACTTACTGTACTTGTACTTCATTTATACCCTAGCTGCCTTGCATGAAGCTCAGTAATTCAGTATGGCCTAGAATGATGAGCGAATTAAGCAACTCTGTTGTGCTGTTGGTCTGCTAGTTTTGTCTTAGTTTTTATTCTATTTATCAACGATGTAGTGCTCTTTAATGGATGTATGACACAAATATTGAAGAAAATATGTGTTTTATGTATATTATGATTATATATAAGTATTTGTACAATTTAAGTGAAAAAAATGCAAAAAAACAAAATATTATTTTTATTTTTGGGGCACTTTTGGCACCGATTTTGGAAAAGAACCGGTGCTAAAAGTTTTTTTTATAAATATTTTTGGAGACTTTTAGCACCGGTTTTAAGACAAAACCGGTGCGAAAAGTATAGATTTTGGCACCGGTTCTCACTAAGAACCGGCGCGAAAAGTCCTTTTTCCCACCGGTTCCGGTGCGAAATCTATGGGGTTTTAGCACCCCCCCAAATACAACCCGATTCAAAACCGGTGGGAAAGGGGGGGTTTGAACCGGTGGGGAATTCGTTTTTTCGCCTAGTGAAGGTTGAGGTTCAACAAGAGAAGAAGGATCACAACCAAGATCGGAAGAATTAACTTAAAATCATGAGCAGTGATCACATTGGGGGGTGGGAGCACAATCAAGCACAAGAGATTTATTATTAAGGGAACAAGACACATCACAAGAAGGCATGGCAAACAATGAAGAAAATTTAAACACATCGTTAGCATCAACTTGAGCATAATCATGAGCAAAAGAGGAAATAGAGTTGAAATTATTTGTTCTAGGTTCACTAATGGGATTATGTGTCAAATAATGGGAACTCATGCTAGCATTAGAAGAATCAACACATTGCACATCAAGATTAGAAACATGATTACCCCTATTATAAACATCCCAAGCAAACCAAACATAAAATTCCCAAGTATCATCAATTGAATGCTCTAAATTCACCGTTATGCATGCCTTCAACTATGCCCCTAGTTTGCTCATTCATACCAAAATAACAAATCTCACAAGCCTCCCAAAGACTACAACAATTATAGTCAAGAAATCCCTCAAGTCTATTGAAATATTCACAAAAAGGCTCATTGTCAAATTGAGGATATGAGAAGCATGCCATTTTTTATTTTTATTTTTACAAAACAAACAAAATCAAAGAAAAGAAAAGTATATACAAAGACCTAGACTCGAGCAATCAAAAACACTCAAACATAGACACTGTTCCCCGACAACAGCACCATTTTAACGTAGGGTGAACTAGGTCATTGACTAACCCTCCCTAAGGTCAAACAAAATTTATAATCACTTAACAAACCAAAATACAAGTATAGAGGTAAGTCAAGGGTCGAACCACTAGGAACGTTTATGTTCAAGTGCTTTCAATCAATGCCTAAGTTAGGTCGAAGTCAAGAGTGAAGAAAGACTAAACAACTACCAAAATGAATAAGAATCAAACAAATGAAACACTAGGGAATGGGGATCAACAAGTAATCATGACAATTGAAACAAGTTGGAAAGGTCAAATCAATCAATGGTTGTGAAGACTAATGATAAGAGCTATCAATTGGAATCAAAGAGATATCTCCTAATTGTTAAGCTAGGTTTCCTCTATGAATAACAAACTAGGAGAATCACAATTCAAACCAATCAACAATTGCAAATCCTAAATCAAGTGGTTATGTCATTAGGACCTACAATGCAATCTAGCATAGTTCTCAAGGCCAAATCAAACTAAGCACATGCAAGTCTTGAGAGCGCAAGCATCAAGCCTTGGAGTAAGTCATCTCTTGCTTTATGAGCCATAAGTAAGCTTCCACTTTGCACCTTAAGCCTCTTCCAACCCGGAGAATCATCGTGACGGGTTCCGAGCTTTGTCTTAAACCAACAAACAAAGGAAAAGAACAAATAAAAGGGAAAAACACTAGAAAGTCCACAAAAGTGGACGAAAATGAAAAATAAGCAAGAATAAGGGAACTAAAGAGCAAAAGAATAAAACTAAGCATTTATTAAGAAAGAAAGCAATAAAAAGAAGGTAAAAACAACCTAAAAAATCATCAAATGAGTGCCATAAATGACACTCATCAGTTAAACTCGTACTTTGGGACGTACGACTTAAATTCCGTTTTCTGCTTTTTAGACAGATGACTAGAATCATCGACTGTCCAAACTTCTTTTCTCTTTTTTCTTTCTTCATTTTTCTGAGCCGGCTGCTCTTGCCGACTGCCTTTTTATTTTTCAGATCTCTTTTCATCCGTCTGCTTGCTGAAGGACCAGAGTTTTGACACCAATATGTAGGCCTCTGCCTCCCTCAACGCTTTTGGAAGAGTGAAGACTCTCTTCCAGACGAGATCAAATTTGAACTGTGATCTGTCCTTCAGACCCTTGAAGAAGTCTGTATAAGTAACTTCGTCAGGCAACCCTTAAATCTGGATTCTCTCCAGATTGAACTGCCTAACATATGAGCGGAGCCCTTCCCGATCTCCCTGAATAACCGCCCCCCAGTTAAAACTTGTCTTTTTGGCCGGTATGTTCATTGAGAAGTTTGAGGCGAACAGGATCACAAGCGTCCTGAAATTGTTGATGCACCTAGGCGGAAGGTTACCGAACCACTGTTGGGAAATGCCCTTTAGCGTGGTTAAAAAGCATTGACACCATGCAGCATCATCCGACCTTTGTAAATACATGAGGTTGGTATATTCCATTAGGTGATCTTCTGGGTTGGAGGTGCCATCGTAGGCACCAACCAAGAAATTCTTAACATTGGCCGGTTGTGCCGCCTCGATTATTTCCTTGGAGAACGCAGAAGGTTGTTCTCCAAGTTTTAGTAGACAGAGTTGCCAGTCCAAGGGTTTGACCTGATATGCCGCCTAACCTCCGTAGAGAGCGGGCTGCTGAAAGGCGAACGAGTCGTATGATTGATGGGGCACATACAGCGCCGAACCTATGACATGAGGGCATGTTCGAACGGACGGGCCGCCTAACAGGTACTCCTGTGTAGATGGGAAATTCCTCATAGAGGTATTCCTAAAAGAACTGTCTAGCATTGTCGGCGTTGAGGCCGTGTCAGACAACTGCTGGCTCCTCCTTTGCTTAATGAACTACCAAGCATCAGTATAGGTCTTTTTGCTACCATCTAATTCATGGTGCCGGATGGGCTTTCTTCTTGACGTCTCAAGGAGACGAATCTTGGTCCAGTCAATGAAGGGTTTAGCCCCCTCCTTCTACTTGAGATGAGGAGTGGGTTCCCTATCCTTGACCATCTTTGCCCCTCTCAGCATGAGAAGGCTTTTTGGCTGACTGACCTTTGCTAGGACCAGCTGCTTGACTTTTGATGAAGCTCTTCATCTCTCCCTTGAAGTTAGTCTTGAACTTCAGGAATTCAGAGCAGATGATGTGAGCAGTCGGCCCTTTAGCCTGAGGCTTGCCAGCTGACTTGCTCGCACCAGCCTGATTAGCATTTCGCTCCTTTTTGTCTTTGAAGCGAATGTGCTTAGTGATGAGGAACCAACTTCAACTGTATGTACTTCGACCTCTGGTTCCGACTCATTATCATGGTCCGAATGGACTTCTGCCCTATCCGGGCATTTATCTTCTGGAGGCGGTACAGGTTATTGAGATGTCATCCTAGAGGTAATCTCCCCATAGACGCCGCCAAATGTTTCGGGGTCTTCTGATGTGTCCTGCGGGAGAGTTACAACTCTAAGACTGGATCCTTGGACGTATGTACCTGCAACAAACGGAAGCTTTGGTTGTTCAAAGTTTCGCCTACGACTATCAAGTTAGTATGTGTCAAAGTTGAGTAAAATGCGGAAAGTAAAGCAGATCTTCTCGAGTCCCAAGATCAGGTGATTTCACTGTTGTAAGAGAATAGTGTAATAATTATAAGGTGTAAAAAGTGTCCCACCCAAGGTAATAAATGTCCCTATTTATAGGGCATGGGAGTTAGTGCCCTTACCTTAGATCATTTAACCTAGGTAATTGGGCTGCGCCGTTTTGACGGCACCTCGGGATTTGAGCCCATGAAGGCCGTCATTTCCCTAATGATGGATGTGACATGTGTCCTATCCTGGTTAGCCCATTTTGGGCGCCTCCAAGGGTGACACGTGTCATGACTTGATTGGTCCACGTGTCTAGGGTATTTTTACCCTAAACACCTTTTGATTTAGGATGTTTTGACGAAGGATAACATTGATTTATTATTTAAAGTAATATGGGGTAATTTAATTATTTTTTAAATAGGCTTATAATTTAATTTGAGAGGGTTTGATTGATTAAGAGGGTTATAATTTAATTTGTACATATAAAATGTTGGTATTTTATCAAAAATAAAACTCTAAACCACTAATTTTATCCTTAAAATCTATCCAAAGTTTATTGAAAATAAAACTCTAAGCTTAATTTTTTTTATTTTATAAAATCTATCCAACATTTTTATCCTACGTGTCATACTAATAATTAATTATCGCCTACATGGCGTGACACTAGGCGAAAAGTTGGAACTCCAAGTGTCGTTGTCTCGTGGCCTGACTAAAAGTTTAGCTTTATATATTAGTTACTAGGTTTGTGCCTGGGCGATGCCCAGATGGTTGATAAGATAAACCTTTTGGATTGAATGTTAAATACAATCATATATGATAATGCATGATATTCAAGCATACTAAACCGAAAATATATTTTATTGAACTAAAATTATTTTTACTAAACTAAAAGTATTTTTACTAACACTAAAATTATTTTTCCTGATTAAAACTTATTATTACTGATTCTCTATTATTTTTGTAAATAAATTAAATATAATTATAAATGGATCTTATTTTTAACTTTTAAAAACAAATTTTATGATGGAAATAGAACATAATTATAGGATATTTATTAAAAGTTATGATTAATTTTGTATGTGAAAGGATCACAACGGTGATGAAACAAACATATAAATACTCTAGAAGGAGGGGGGGTTGAATAGAGTATGGGCAATTTTCGCAAAACTGATAAGTCAAGACCTTGAGATCAGTTACAGGGCGGAATAAACTAATCTCTGTTTTAAAATCAAGACTTTGAAAACTATTTATAAAGCAAAACAATTACTAATTAGAATATTAAAAGCACTCGTTTGGATTTTGCTAGTTGTATTTAAAACAAAAACGAAAGCAGGAACAAAGCAAAAGTAAATGCAAAAAATAAAC